GAGGGGACCCGCGACGCCCGCGCCAAGGAGCGTCGGCCCCGGGGGCGGGAGGCTGAGGCTGCGGAGATCTCCGCTCCGATCCTGTTTTACTTTTCAACGTTGCTAATTAGAAGAAAGTAATTGGTACATGTAGTTGTGAAACACACAGACGCTTAATAGGAAATATTTGCGAATGTGGAGCAGCCCAGTCACTAACTAGGGTGAAAACCTAGGTCACAGGCAAAAAAAAAAAATCAAAAAAAATCAGAGGAGCGTGCACCTGAAGCCAGCATGGAAACCTGTAAGTGCTCCGATGAAGCTGGAGTGTTCAGGTGCCCGTGAGGCAGGCGCCGCGGTCTGCGGGCGGCCGGGTGTCGAGGTTGTGGTGATACACTCCCCCCTGTACCCTAGGTTCCCCGCCGATGGACTCCATTCCGCCGGACCGGCTGCCTGGAGAGGCTGGAGCCAGGAGTCTGTCTTCTCTCGCCTGTTTTTCTGTCTGCGTTTTCATCATGGTAAACATGGCATCTCCAGACCCTTCTGGTAGATGAGTCCAGTATTATGCTGTCATATGTGGGTTATGATTGTCTAGTGCACTCTGTTTGGAAAAGATAGCTTCGGTATCTTTTTTTTTAGTAAACGCTCTTACGTAAAAATACAGGACCTAGATTGTAAGCTGCTGTGTGGTCATGTGAGTGTTGTATTTTTAAAGTTTGCAAGTATACTCTTGTGCTTTGCTATTTTTTATGCATCCTGGACTTTGGGGACCTGTGAGAGAGACTTGAGGTCAGAGCTCTGCAAGAGAGAAGACACACCTTGGCCGCAGCTGCTGAAGCAAGAACCCAAATCCCGGTGGAGGGTGTGGATGCCTCTTCTTTGGATGAGATTGAGCCAGCCCAGAGGACAGTTGAGTGTGGAGAGTGGTGGTGTGTGAATTTTGGGACTATGCAGTCCATCAGATCAAAGGAGGGCTCTGTTCTGTTTTTTGGCGTTTTTTTTTTCTCTTTTTTTCAGAAATGTAATTTTTTTCTGTAGCACGTTAATTGGTGCACATCATGTAACCTGTCTGGTGAGTAACCTAGGGTAGGGGATGAGTTCTAGCTACTACATGTATTTGCTGAGTTTTTGAAAAAATACAGTCATGCATTTTACAGGCTTCCCAGCTGCAATGCCTATGACCTCTGGGGGTGGGGGTTGGGAGGGAGAGCATGGAGCCTGTGACCGCAGTGGGCCCCAGACTGATAGCAGGAGGCGTCTTCCAGGCTGAGGTGACATCCAGCCTAGATCATCAGAGCAGACTTCACAGGGGTTGAAGTCAGAGCTCAAGCTTGTTATGATGAACTTTATTTGCCTGGAAAAACCAATGCTAAAAGCAAGATTTTACAATACTTGTACAAATGACCAAAGCCATTGACTTGGCCAGGAAAAGGTGAGATAAATAAATTTCTTTCAAAATGAAAATTTCTCATTGATCGTCTGTCATTGTCAAATGGTGATCATTTGCTGCTGATTTAGAAATGTGTTCAAAAGACTCTGTAGCCCAGAGGGAGGTTTGAGCCGCAGGGACTGGAGCAGGAGCAGGGAGAAGGCAGAGCAGGAAGGGACCTCATGAAGGAATCTGGTCTGGCCCCCACCTCCAGGAAGTTCATTCAGTCATGTACTCACTGTGAACATGAGCCATTCCACACTCTGCTGAGCACTAGGGATTTCCGGGAGGGACAAACTAGTAAGACAATCTGTAAACGCAGTTACAGTATGGGGTTCCCAGGGCAGGTACTTGAGTCAACACACAAACTGAATGCCCAAAGGTGTGTGGCTCCATCAGTGAGGGACCCCTTGCTTGTACACTTGGATCTGATATTTGTTAGTTTAGCACAATGCTGGTCATAGTGAGGCAGGAAAAAAATTACATGTATGTCAGCAGTAAGTCCTGTGGAAAAAACAAGGGAGCATTGGAAGATGGACTATTCAGGGGGAGTGTTGCTGCTTTATGTAGGAATCTGCCGTTTCAGCAGAAAGCTGTGTGGACTACATGAGGATGTCCAGGGAAAGTGCTCCAGGCAGATGGGACAAGCGGGGCCCTGGGGTCAGGAGCAGCGTGACACCTGGGTGATAGGGACCAGTGGGGGATGGCGAGTCAGAAGGAGCAGTTGTCTAAATGACATGGGAAGCAGTTTGAAGGTTTAAGCAGAGGAAGGATAGGATCTGTGCACATTTGAAGAGGCTCATGGGCTGCTATGTCAAAACTTGACAGTGGGGATGGAGCAAGGATGACGGCTGGGGCACAGTGGTCACCGAAGGTGCAGGGGAGTGTGGACTGCGCTCTGATGGTGTTGCCCCCGGGATGTGCTGAGGGGCAGGACGGGATGTGCGGGGATCCAGCTGTGGTTTAGGCTCCTGGCCTGCGCATCTGTTTCGGGGAGCCATGGTGTTTGCTGAACAGACCAGGGCAGTTTAGAAAGTGAAAGGTGGCCTTGGGAACAATGAGTCCGGGTTCACTAGTGTAAACCAGGACTTGTGCAGGCCAGCAGGCTCGGCAGCCAGTGTTTGTGCCGTGGTGGGAGCAGTGACAAAGGTGTCCACTGCGCAAGTGCTTTAGACCAAGTGACTCTTGGTCTGGGCCCGGAAGCATAAGCACCCCATCACCCAGGCACAGGGAACATAGGTCCAGAACTGGCCCTGCAGTCCATGCTAGAGAGGGCTTGTGGGTGTTTGGAGCGAACTGGGAGGCGTTGAAGGTAAGGTAGGCAGTTTTAGCTGGTAAATGAGGCGGGAACTTGTTGGCAACGGGAGCACAGTTTGTCCTGGGTCAAGTGCAGTGAGGCAGGGCCCTGTGGGGCAACAACTGGAACTCCGAGTGCTATGACTTGGGTCTGAGCCCTGTGGAGGAGAGAAAAGGGGTTTTTTGTCTCTCTCAGTGCCCCTGGGGGAGTGGATGATGCTGGGGGCCCATTGGGAGAGGCCTGGAGCACAGCCTCCGGACACCTGTGAGTCTGCTGCAGGCAGGACCCAAGCTCCTGGCACACTTTGTGGTCCTAGGAGAGTCTGCGCCTGCTGCTCGCCTTGACAGCAGGTGCCCGAGGCTGAGCTGCTCCCAGTGGCCAGGGCTGGGAGAAGGCTACTGTCCTCCCCTGAGGGTGTCAGGAGTACACAGGCCTCCTCGCTGCTCCCCGTTTTCACCCTGTTGGCCCAGGGGCTCACACTGCTGTGCTCCCTCTGTGTCTCTCTGGCTGGCTTCTCCGAGGTTAGAATGCACCACAAAGCCAAAGCTAGAGGATGTGGGGCGGGGGTGGGCGTGCTGACCTGGTCAGCGGGTTTTATCTTGCTCTGGTGGGAGGAGGAGGAAGGAGGGGGGTGAGGTAGAGTGATTATCTTGATACCCCAATAGAGAAATATAGGCTTATCCATAATCATTAGGGCAAAAAACCCCAGGAAGTAATTAACTACTAACAAAATTGAAAAGACTGGTAGAAATTTCCAAGCAGTAAGGGAAGAAGAGAGACTAAAATAGAAACCTGCCCAGTTGGAAAGGAGAAAGGAAACAACGAAGCAAATACATTTCACAGGAGAGGTGTCATCGATCCGCAAACCTGCCTCCTTGTCCTAAAGACAGCAGCTGGCAGCTGGAGTTAAAAACAACCCAGGTGTGTTATTTACAGGACACACCCATGATGAAGTGACCATGGAAATACAAGAATAGAGGAATAAAGTGGAATTTAAGGTCAAAAGCTTGAAACAGAAAACAGATAGGACTTACCAAGAAGTTCTGTATTTCAGTTATCTGTTTCTGGTTCAAAACACTGCAAAATTTAGTGGATTAGAGCCCCCATAACCCCTGTCATGGTTCTGTGGCTCAGGAATTCGGGTGAGGCTTGCTGGGTACTTCTGTTCCCTGTAGTGTTGCCTGAAGTCACTCTGCTGCCTCCTGCTGGGGTGGAGTCAGTCGTCTCCTGCTGGGATGGGCTGGGAGGCCCCCAAAGGTCTCACTCACATGCCTGGGTCTCAGCTGGGTGTTTGCAATGGCCAGGGCTCTCATTAACGCTGGTGAGGAGGCAGGGAGAAACCCCAGACTGAAAATCTACTGACGGGCCCTGGCCAGTGTGGTTCAGTGGTTAGAGCGTTGGCCCAAGCACCAAAGGGTCTGGAGTTCAATTCCCAGGGCATGTACCTGGGTTGCAGGTTCAATCCCTGGCCCTGGTGACAGGGCACATGCGGGAGGCAGTCAATCAATGTGTCTCACATCGACCTTTCTCTTTCCCCCCTCTCCCTCCCTCCCTTCCTCCCTCTCTCTCTAAAAACAATGGAAAAAATATCCTCAGGTAGTGAGGATTAACAAAGACACACACACACACACACACACACACACACACAATAAATCTACCTCTGGAAGCAAAGGGCAAAGAAAGGCCAAGGAAAAAGGCTGGCAATTAACTGGATTTGTTGAGGGAAACTTATGTAGAAGGTGGGTCTTGGGCTGTGGCAAGATACCGTGGGTACCCTCCAAGCAGCGGAGACAAGGGCAGGATGGACGGGATGGGGGGCCCATCCAGATAGAGGAGAAGGCCTCGCACGCTTGCCAGGGCAGGACAGTGCCCCTCCCGGAGCCAGCGCTGCGTGGGGCACGGGAGAGGCCTGCCGGGCAGTGTTGGAAACTGTGTTCCGGGCCACCCTGGAGCTGAACCCAGTTGATTTCACGGAGGGCGGGACAAATTTGGGTAGAGCGCTGACACCTCTGCCATTGGAAACACCTGTGTTGTTTACAGGTTAGGTGTGAGTTTGGAATTGTTTTTTCTTTTTCCATTTTCATGTTTATATTTTTCACATCTTTTTCTTTTTAACTTTTTTTACATTTCCTGTTAAGTAACAATGTAAGTATATATGTATTATATGTAATATATATAGGAAGAATGCAGTCATAAATAACATGGCATAGGCCCCCTTTCCCCCGCCCCCGGTTTGGACTTTCTATAAGTGGAACCATAATTATTCCTGTGCACACACATCTCCCCCAAGTGACGCAGGTCAGTGGTTCACTCGTTCAGCAGGCGTCAGGTCATCTGGAAAGCTTGTTAACGCATTGCTGGCCCCACCCCTCTAGTAGCTGGTTTATTTGGTCTGGGGTAGGGCCTGATCATTGGTATTTCTAACAGCTTCCTAGGTGATGCTTGTACTGCTGGTCTTGGGGCCACACTTTGAGACCCACCTTACTCTATCTTTCCATGCCCCTGTGGGCGGGTCTTTGCGGTCGTGCTGGAGTGGGGTGATTGGCCTTATGAGAGGAGACACAATAAATGCGAGTGAGGCAGCTGTAAGTCAAGGAGCTTTGGGAATTGCTGGGAGCCACCAAAGCTGGAGAGAGTCCTCCCCACAGTGCCTTGGGAGGGAGCACGGCCCTGCGGGTACCTTGACTTTGGACTCTGGCCTCCAGAACTGGAGACAGTAGGTTCCCGCTGTTTCAAGTCCCCAGTTTGGGGACCTTTGCTCTGGCAGCCCTAGAACTAATACAGGGGCCTCCTGAAACTTGCTTTTTCCCTTGAAGACGTGTCAAGTGGATTTTCTAAGCCAAATAGTGGGTCCCTTCCTGCAGGGCCCATCACGGCCTGAGACCCAGAGCACCCTCCCAGCTCTTCCCTGACTGACTGTCACTGGCCTGATTAATCACAAGGGTCCCTTCGTCAGTGATCCTTGTAGAGATTTGTTAAAGATTCGTTAGACTCTAAAATGCGACACAATAGAAGGTGAGTGGTGACCTTGAACCATTGAGCACGTGTTCCGTTGAGCAGTCCCTGTAAGCTAGTTATGGGTCTGTTTACAGAGATAGGTCCCCAGCTGCTGGCTGCGCCTCTGACACCCCAGGCCTTGGACACTCTGCTGGCGCACTCCTTTTCTTGTTTTTTTGTTAACCCTCACCCCAGCATATTTTTTCCATTGATTTTTTAGAGAGAGTAGGAGGGAGGGGGAGAGAAAGAGAGAAACATTGATGTGAGCGAGTGCCAGGTGTGCCGGGTAAGGCTGATAGGTCTCGGTGTCCGGTCCATGGCCCGACTGTCCTGGCGCATGGTGGTGACCTTATGTAACGATGCCCCACATGATGCCACTGCGCCTGCGGCCTTGGCGCACTGTTCGCTGCGGTCCATGTAACCAGCGCTGTGCACAGCAGGAGGAGTTGTTCTCTTGATGTCTGCTCCTATGGCCTTCTTTATGCTGGGATCTCACCTCCCAAATACCCCCTGCAGCCTCCCTCCCTCCCTCAACAGTGAGACACATCGATTGGTTGCCTCCTGCATGAGCCTGACCAGGGCCCGAGACCGAACCCACAACCCAGATATGTGCCCTTGACAGGGAATCAAACCCAAGACCCTTCAGTCCACAGGCTGACGCTCTAACCACTGGGCCACACCAGCCAGGGCTGCTTCATTCCTCTGATGGCAAACCCGTCTGGCCTGAGCCATGCACGACAACCGTGCTCACTCCGCTACTGGGAGTGCCACGCTTTCACTGTGTGTCAGTGTGTGAGTTTCCAAGGCCACCCTAAGAAAGCACCACAGACCAGGTGGCTTAAACATCAGAAACTCATTTTCTGGAAGACCCATATTGAGGGCTCAACCCTGAAGACCTGAAGCGCAGGTGGGGACCAGGCTCCTGGAGGCGGGTGCTGAGAGCCACAGCGGTCAGAGGCAGGGGGATGCCAGGTCCATGCTGCTGGGCCTTGAGGGCGCGGGCACTGGTAGAGCCCGTGCAGTTTCCCATCACGGCAGCAGGAGCCCCCAGGCCTGTCCCTCTAGCTCTAGCGAACAGAGGATGCTGCTGTCACAAGAGTTCAGGGAGAAGTGCTGTGGCTGTGCCCATCTTGCAGGCCCCTGCACACAGGCCTCGGGACATCCGGGCTGTTCCTTCCGCGAGATCACCCAGGACATCGCATGCTGCACGCCCTTCCCCTGCAGCCACGGCCTGTTCTGGAGCCGTCACAGGGGAGCAGCCATGCCTGACATGCAGGCGGCTGCTCTGTGGGAGCTGCCAGCACCTCATCTTTTTTTTTTCTTGTTAATTCTCACCTGAGGATATTATTCCCATTTAATTTTAGAGAGAGTGGGAGGAGGGGGGGAGAGAGAAAAACATTGATGTGAGAGAGACACACGGATTGGTTGCCTCCTGCACCAGCTACAACCCAGCTACATGCCCTTAAGCAGGAATTGAACCTGAGACCCTTCGGTGTGGGGGCCGATGCTCTTACCACTGAGCCACACTGGCCAGGGCCAGCACTGCGTCATCTTACAGCGCTGGGGAGGGTCTGTGGAGCCTCCCTGGGGTGAGGAGAACACAGTGGCCATTGGCCTTCCTTCTGGACAATTGGCTACTTGGACCTGAGTCATAGAATGCAGAGCCTGTCCCCAGGGAGCAATCTTCCTGTGAGCTAGTCTGTCCCCACAGTCAAAGGCCGCTGAGCCTCTGTCGTTGTAACAAACTGCCCAAGCCCTTCCGGCCTCCACCCTGTGAGGAAACCGTCTCCTGTTGAAGCCCTAGCCTGTGGCCTCCTGCGGCAGCCACAGTAGACCATGGCCCTGACACGAAGGACTCGACACCAGGGACAGTGTCAGCGCACTGGGAGGTGGCCCCTGAAGGTGGGGAGAGTGTTGGCCACACCAGGTGGAGAGATGCCAGAAGGACTGTGGCAGAGGGAGGAAGAGGCATTAAAAGATGCAGAGGAGGGCGGGTGGACGTGCGTTCAGAGAACCCCCAGGTGACGTGTTCCTTGCGGGGGCCCGGAGGACGCCCCCTTTACCGAGCAGGGCCACTTTGCCACATTCTGTTGGTTACAAATGCATCCCAGCCCACCAGCCTCAACGGGAGGACACAGACCCGTCTTTCAGTGGGAGGGATGTCAGGGTCCTGTCCTGTGACACTCCCGGGATGAGGAACGTTGTGTGGTCATCTTGGGAAATAGAACGGGGACACGCTTGTCAGATAAACTCAGTGGCTTAACACCATGCAAGTCACTGGTTTCTCATGTCCCAGTCTGTTGACTTCCTGTGGTCCCACAGGTCCTCAGGAGTCCCCATCAGTGGCCCTGAGTTCCCGGAGGTCCTCAGAGTGCCCTCCGTTGGGGCAGTGGGTGAGGGAGAGGAAGGTTGTTTCCAGCCAGGCTGGAAGGGGGGCACTGCCCGCATCCTGGGGCTGAAATCGGCCACGTGGCCACTGGGAGTGAGGGTGGCCGTGTGTCCGGAAGGCCACGAGGACGCAGGTGGCGGGGAACCCTTCCTTATCCGCCTCAGAAGAGGGTCTGAGCTCAAGGAGGCTGGTGGGGCAGAGAGGACCCGGACTCGCTTGAAGATGGGGTTCTCTGGGTGTTTGCGGTTTGAACAAGACAGCCAGCACGTGGGGAGGGAGCCACGGCTCTGGCCGTGGTACAGTCCCAGCCAGAGGCCCTGCCACTTGAGTCTGAGGCAGTCAGTCCACTCCGAGCACAGAGCCTCTGCTCTCTAGGGGCGCAGAGATGGCCTCAGTCTACACTCTTGCCCCTCCAGGCTGCACTAATGTGACCGTGCCAGTCCTCCCAGGTCAGCCAGGGACACTGAAGTCATCACCTCAGTTCTCGTCTCACTGAATCCACAGCTCCTCTACTGCCACACCATTTCTTGGATGCACCAGCTGGGAGTCAGAGAGGTAAAGTGTCTTGCCAGGGTCACCATCCCAGGACCCAGACCCGGTGCTGAGTGTTTTGGACAGTCTTGCTTTCCTTGGGCAAGTCCTTCTAGAGATCAGCTTTCCCCTTTAAAATGCAGATACTAATCCCTGGGCCTGTTACATGGCCCAGATTGGGGATTCCCTGCGAGGGAGAGGTTATCAGGGCAGGCTTCCTGGTGGTGGCACTTCCCAAGCTGAGTACTGAGTTGAGTTTTGAACAAGGCAGGGCAAACTCCGAGTCCAGAGGCCCAGTCCAGAGGGTGGGGATACCAAGAGAGACCCCTCAGTGAGGCACAAGCGAGGGGTGTGGGCACTGGGGTGAGGAAGGGGTATTCCCTGTCTGGAGGGATATCTGGCAGGCTGCTGGGGGAGGTGGCATTTGGGATTCGGCTTGAAGGTGGACAGTAATGGCTCTGGCTGGGTGGGTCAGTTGGTTGGAGCATAGTCCCATACACTGCAAGGTTTGATCCCCGGTTGGGGGGAGTGCAGGAGGCAACTGAACAATGTTTCTCGCTCTCTGTCCCTCTGTCCCTCTGTTCCTCTCCTCCTCTCCCTTCCTCTTTCTCTAAAAAGAGAGAGAGAGAGGGAGAGAGAAAGAGAGGTGCGCAGCAATGGCCTGAAAACTGGAGTGGGGGGAGGCAGGCTCACTGGAGGTGCTGAGCAAGCACCACCCTCTTGCAGGGCTCAGGTGACACCCAGCCTGGGGCACCACACGTCCTGATCCCCTACCTGCTCCCTCCCCCACAGGGCAGTTGCCCAGTCTGCTGCCTAGTGGCTTGCCCGCTGGCCTAGCTGCAGAGTAGAAGTCCCCGCAGGAGCCACAGCCCGCCAGGCACTGGGATGGGGCTGCTCCGCTGGCTGCCTCTGTTCACGCAACTGGTGGTGCTGTGGCTGCCGGAGTCCTGGGCCAAGGACAGCATTAGGGTCTTTGTGGTGCCCCACAGCCACATGGACGTGGGCTGGCTCTACACGGTCCAGGTAGGTGCCCCGCGTCGTCCTCCGTGTACCCCTGGGGCTGCCGCCCCCTTCTCCCTGCTGGACCCCAGTTTGGTCTCTGTCCTTGGGTCTCTGTCCTTGGGTCTGCACCAGCAAGGAAGGACCAGCCTGGGTCCCAGTGTTGCCTCTGGCATGGAAAACTGGGCATCTAACCCTGAGCAGATCACTTCCTGCCCCTGAACCCCAGTTTCCCCACCAGTGATGGGAAGATTGCAGGCAGCCAAGGTCGGATGGAGAGCGCATTGGTCTGAGCCAGGCCATGGTCAGTCCTTGTCTGGGGGATGCTCTCTGGGCCCCAGTTTCCCCTTCCACAGGGTGGCGCAGGCCTCAGTCTTTGTGCAGGGTTTCCCCTCTGCCTAAAAGGCTTTCCCCACAGATGTTGGCAGGACTCAGTCCCTAACTTCCTTCAGGTGGTTCCTCCAAAGTCACTTTCTTGGTGAGGCCTGGCAGGCAACCCAGCCTAAGGGCTCTCCCCTGCCCCTCCCTTCCTCACCCCACCTACTGCCCGTTACTGAGGCCCGGAGAGAGGAGGCTCCAGAGTCGGGGTGGGACTTTGCCCACTTTATCACTGACACTCTCACTGCGCCTGAGGGACAGCGTGGACACATCCTGGTGTTTGTTGCATCAGTGAATGAATTGGAACAGAAAGAAAAGAGTGAAAGTCTCAGAGTTCCTTAGGTCTCTGGGGCAGGTGGCCGATTGGATATCACCCAGGCAGCCTCACACTCGTCTTGGGAATGAGAGAGGAAATGCCTAAATAAATGAGCAAAGACCCTCTGTGCTTGTAGATCAATGACTTTGCAAAGGACATTACTAAGGGAGTGGCTAGTCTCAGCGGGAGACAGGCAGGAGAAGGGCTTGATGCTGGGTCAAGTCTGATCCTGGGTGGAGCCACTTGGGGGTAACTATTCACCTGCAAATGGAGCCTGCTTAAGGGGCGGGGAGCACACTTGTCAGCCCCCCCTCCCCACCCCCTTGTTTTCAGAAGAGGAAACAGAGGGCCAGAGAGAGCCTTGCCCAAGGTCACTCAGGAATAGCCCTCGAGCCTGCTGACTCCCTGCCCAGTGCTCTTTGCCTGCCCTTTACGGAGCAGGGGCCCTGGGCACACCGTGTGCACCTGGAGACCCAGGTGGGAAGCAGCCCAGCCCCATCCCTCAGGGACAGTGTGGAGGAGAGCCAGGAGGAGGAAATAAGTTCCAGGGACCCCTCCTGGCTCTCCACCACGCTGTCCCTGATAGATCGACCGTGCCCTCAGGGACAGCTAGTGTGCCCCCGGGGTGTGTGGGGACACTGCCTGTGCAGTGTCAAGGTCGGATCCCTGGTCTCTCCCCAGGACGGTGCGTTCCCAGCGAAGGTGGGGAGCCTCTGGGGCAGGTGGGGCTGGGCCCTGGGACAGAGCGTGGGGAAGGCGGGCAGAGGGGAGAGGCAGGGCGCAGGGACGGCTTGTCACGGGGCTGGTGTGATGGTGCCCTCCCCAGGAGAACATGCATGCCTACGTGGCCAACGTGTACGCCTCGGTGGTGGCGGAGCTGACCCGCCGCAGGCAGCACTGCTTCATCGTTGTAGAGCAGGAGTACTTCCGGCTGTGGTGGGACGGCATCGCCTCGGACACGCAGAAGCTCCAGGTGACACTGCCGGGTATCCCAGGGAGACGGGTGGACTCGGGCATGAACGCCAGGGCCACCCCCTCAGCTGTCACTGCCTGCTCAGATCAGGCTGTGGCTGGCTCTCCTGGGGGACGGGTGGTTTATGGTCCTGGCCTTCCGGCCATCGGGGGAACCCTGCAGCTCCCGCTCCCCTGCCCTGCCCTGAGCTGTGCTGAGCCGGGTCCCTCTACACGGGGCACTGCTGGGGTGGCCCTGAGCCCACGCCTGCTGCCGTCATTTCTGTGTTTGCGTGGTCATGGGCCGGGACCTGGGGACACTGACCAGGTGCCACAGTCCCTGAGGTTTACAGGAGGCAGCAGGTTTGAGTGACACGGAGCAGGGAGTCAGGGAGGCCCTGCTCTGCAGAGGGACAGCCCGGGGCAGGACCTGCCACCGCCACGGCCACCTCCAGGTGTGCTTACAGGCAGGTACTGGTCTGTCACTGTAGGTCCCATATCTGTGGAGGGAGTGCCCTCCCCCCTCAGAGGGCTGTGGGCTCACCTGGGAATGAAACCATGACGCGAGACCTAGGAACACTCTTCTGAGCTGAATCCTCTCCCAGGTACTCACCTTCCTTCAGCACAGTCCCTGCCCTTGCAGTTCAGAGAGGCAGAGCGACTCGCTCAAGGATGCAAAGCCAAGAAGGCCAGTCAGGGAGCCCCCAGACCCAGGCCCCCCTAGATGGGATGTCTGAACCTGAAGCTGTGATGTTGTGAGAAGGAGCCTCACATTTGATGGGCCGTGCCCAGCGCTGGGTTCCTGCTTTTTACACAGTACTTCATGGAACCCCCCCTACAGCCTGCATGGGGATAGTCACCCCACTTTACAGAGCTGGCCAGGCTCTCACGGCAGGGGACTGGCCTGTGGTCGCACGGCTCATAGGTGACAGCTGGGATTCTGAACCATACATGCCTAACCAAGTACCTCTCTCCAGGTGTCCGGTGGGGTGTCCAGTGGGTGGTCCACATTTCCTTCCATGGACACCCCCACACCCAGTTGTCTGTCTCCTACACCCCGCTGGCCAGGGAGAGGAGGGTTCCCAACAAAGACCTGGGCAGGCAGCTCAATGGGCCAAGCAGGGTTGTTGTTTTTTTAATCTTCACCTGAGGATATTTTTTTCCATTGCTTTTCAGATAGTGGGGAAGGGAGAGGGGGAGAGAAAGAGAAACATCAATGGTGAGAGCCCTGGGTCGGCTGCCTCAGGCATGCATCCAGCCCACAGCCTGGGCATGTGCCCCGATGGGGAGTTGAACCCTGATCTCCTGGTTCATGGGTCAGTGCTCAGCCACTTAGCAACACCTGCGGGCAAGAAGCAGGGAGTTTTGTCTGCTTTCTTCATGGCTGAATCCCCAAAACCTGGGCGGGGCCTGGCATGTAGTAGGTGGTCGCCCAAAGCAGCACATAGTGGGGGCATGTTCCATATTTGCTGATTGAATGCAGTATGAATACTGCACCTTCATAAAGCAAATAAAAATACAGCCTATAGACGGCGGGGCAGAGTGACGGCCCACGTCCTTTGGTGATTATTTATGTTCTTTTCTTCCATTCATTCACTTAATATTATTTAATATTCTTCTACTATTAAAAAAATATTAGAAACATGTTGGAAAACGTGGATCAGATGAATGCCTCCTGAAAAAATATAGACTTTCAGCATGTGATGAGGGAAACCCAAATTGAAGGACAGTCAACAAAATAACTAACCTGTGATCTTGGAAATTATCAATCCCGTGAAAGAAAAGGAGAGGCTGAGGAACTGTCCAAAGTGAAAGTAAAAAAGAGAAATGACAGTTAAAGCAGCCTGTGCTCCTAGAGTGAGTCTTGCACCTGAAAAGGACATTCGCAGAGCTTCTGGCAAAACACGATTCAAGTCTGTGGGTTAGATGGAAGTGTTGTGTTATGTTAAATTTCTAGATTTGATAATTATACCGTGATTAAAATCATCCTTTCCTTCCAAGACACTAATTGAAGTACTGAGGGTAGAAGGCACGCACTGGTTAACTTATAATTTCCAGTGGTTTAGGGCATAAGCATACTGTGTAGAGAAAGAGATGGGGAGTGTAAGGAAACCGGTTAAAAATGTTGGCCTTGAAGGCTCCAGGGGGAGCATACATGGAGCTCTTTGTACAATTCTTGCATATTGTCTCTAACTTTGAAATTATTTTAAGAGTAAAAATTTAAAAAAAGGAAAGATGTATCACGTAGCAGCCACAGGCCAGGTGCTGCACCAGGTGGTGGGACACAGTGCTGAGCAGGACAGACAGTGTGCTGCTTTTGCAGAATGAATGCAGGTGGGCATGTTAGGGAAGGCACCAGGAGACGCTGTGGGTGTGTCCCCTGCAGAGCCACCCACACTCTGGGGCTGTGACCTGGCTTTTGTTCTCTGTCTACCCTGGCAAGGTTCACCAGCTTGTGGCCCAAGGACGCCTGGAGTTTGTCATTGGAGGCCAGGTCATGCACGATGAGGCTGTGACCCACTTTGATGACCAGATCCTGCAGCTCACAGGTTCGGTCACCACTCCCCATAGCCTGGGACCTTTCGGGGCCTCCATTCGGGCTGGGACTTCGTCTTCCCCTCTGAGCGGGAGACTGACCAGTGAAAACAGTGATTAGCAGCTGCCCCAGCCATGCCTGTGCTGCTGAGCGCAGGGGCTGCGGCCTGGAGTCTGGACCAGCTGGCCTGGCTGAATCCTGGCTCTGCTAACTCCCGACCCTGTGAACCTGGGCAAGGGATGTGTCTCAGTGTCCTCCTTATTGAGATGAGTTTGATGATAATACCTACCTGAAAGGTTTGTGTGAGAAATAAATTGTAATAATTTAAATAGACCACTTTAGTAAAGTGCAGTGTTCCCTAGTAAGTACTCATTAGAGGTTAGGTGCCCGCACTACCATCATCATCACACCTCCATCACCACCAGCTCCACCTACAACTACACCAGCGTAGCTACCAGCACCACCACCACCACCTTCACTACTATCACCGTCATGATCACCCTTACCACCATCCCCAACCCTACCATCACCACCATCCCCCCCACCACCGCCACCATCACCATCACCACCATCATCACCACCATCACCACCACCACCATCACCACCATCCCCCCCACCACCGCCACCATCACCATCACCACCGTCACCACCACCACCATCACCACCATCCCCCCCACCACTGCCACCATCACCACCATCACCACCACCATCACCACCA